GGTTTGCCATTTCCTCCTCCAGCTCATTTTACAAACAAGGAAACTGAGGCAAACAGGGTCAAATGACTTGCCCAGGGTCACACAGCTAGTAAGTATCTGAGGCCAGATTTGAACTCAAGAAGGTGAGTCTTCATGACTCTAGGCCCAGCACTCTATCCATTGTAGCACCACCTACCTGTCCCAGGAACCTATGGTACACATAGGACATCCGGTATGATTTTTCAGTGACATGCAAGTCAATGTTGCCCTTCTACATTCCCTTCTGTTTCCAACAGATGGCATATGGTCTCCCAACCCCTATCCTGTCTTATTCCAAGTTAGCCTAGTTAGTATTCCCACCTCACTTCCATGCCAGAAGCATGTCACATTGGTAACCCCTATTTGAAAGATTGCCAACCCATTCTAAAAAAAAAAAAATTGGATCAACCTCCAGATGTTTCTGTGAGATTCCTACCTCTGTCTATACCCACACTGTCTGACCAAGCCAGACTCAATTCCAGCTGTGCCAATACCACTCTATGGAAATACCTGCTATCCCATTCCTCCTATGGCAACTGTAAAGTTGGAGGGGACAAGAGCCAGGCGTCTGGCCGGCTAGCCATGCTTCGCCAACTGGGCCATAGCCTCATCATATGGAAGCTTCTGGCTTTGGAGTCCTTGCCAAAAGAGCAGTAATTCCACTCATGTCTTGGGAGCTTAATTTCCCAATCTACGAAATGCCACTAAGAAGTTGCTTTGCAGACTTATAAGGCCATAGAGAAAGGCATGTATTAAGATGGGTGTATTCACAAAACCAAGACAGGCTATCAGAACCTGTTTTTTTCCAAAACCTCAGCCTTGGCGCTGTTACTGCTTTGCTCCCATGTTGACAAACATAGAAGGATTACATTTGCTTGCTTTCAGCTGTGTCATCAGAGATGTTCACTGTTAGGAAATACTGGCTTTTCTTAATGCTGATGTTTGAGTAGGTGGCCTCCAGCTTCAGCTGGTCAAAATGATACCCCGCCATACCTCAGATAAGGCTTATTTTAAACGTATTAGTATTTATAATACATATATAAAGAGAAGCCTCAATGGTGAGAGTACCAAGGAGGCGTAATTGTCCCGTGCAAGGTGTTTCTAACAATTGCCTGGTGCTGGAGTATATTGGGGCAGGGAGAAGCTGCATACTCATTGTAAAGTCCTTTCGAATAGGGAAGGTTTTGTCTGTCTTTGTATCCTCAGGACCTAGTACATGCAGACACCTGATAAATATTTGCCAATTGAACAGAAGCCAAACACAACTCGTGATGCCAATAAATAGATAAATAAAAATCAGGCACTTACTCCAGCATAAATCCAAGCACTGAAGGTTGTCACTGGATCTCCCTCTTCCGCCTACTGAAAGAAGGTAGATTTATTGACAAACTTACCTAACACTTAGCATAACCACATGATGTCAGTTAACTCCCACGTCAATGGCTTTTGCCAATTTTGCAAGGCCTGAATTACCGACTGGGGTGTGGCTAGAAAAATGGCAGCACACATTCTTAAGTGTGGTCAGAAGGTGGCTCTGGATTAGCCTGCTATGAGTCACCCTCCCTTCAAAATGACACAAAGCACTTCAATGTTCCTATGCAAAAATCTGCCCTGCATGAGTCTGGCAATGTGGACACCGACCCCAAAGAGGTGGATGTCTCTTCTCAAAGAAACATCTGTGGGTTGGTCTTCTCATTGTTTCCCTCCCTTTCAACCCGCCCTCCTGGCCCGGCAGATGCATGGCCCAAGTTGCTCTGGCATGCATGGAAGAAGTGAGACTAGAAAAGACAAGGCTTTAGAACTAAATAGTCATTACTGTTTCACAATGGGGCACAAGCTGTTTATATTCATCCTATAGGGGAAAAACTCATTTTCTAGTACCTTAACGTGCCTGACACTTTTGTGTATGTGGGAAAAAAGATGGAAACTGTAAATAAGACTGCAGATTTTTTCACTTGAAGCTATTCGGGTCCAAATACTCCCTTCTTCTCCCAGGAGCAAACTTCCTATTTGCTTTCTGCCTCAGGTGCCATAATTCTGACCTTGATTTAATTACCACTACCTCTACCTCCCCTATCAAACCACAGTAAGACTGAAGTTCTCTACTTTCCAACTAAGGACCCTATGCAGACTGTGTTTCAATATTCCCCTACTATTCATTGAGACATCATGTGACCATAATGTAAAGAGACAGATTTTTAAAAAGGAAAAAACCTTTTATATATCCAAGGGCCATCTTTTAAAACTAGTCACCTTGGTAGGCTAAATATTTATTTAAATATTCTACCCATTTTTGGAATAGAAGGAATCGTTTGAAACTCTTCTTTGGGAATTGCCCTCAAAGCACACTTAAATGTCCTCTGTGGTGGCAAATGTTTATCTTCTGAAGGCGAATTTCATTTTTGCAAACAGCTAAAAGGCCATTTGGAACCAATTGTGGCAAATGAGCAATAAATCAGGGTTTTTGGTTAAGAACAAAACTCTGAAGTTGTTGGACTAATTTTCTCATGTGGCTCAGAAATTGATTCTGCAGACAATTTCCATACCTTAAAGATCACCTCATTTTAGAGATGAGAAAACTGAGATCTAAAGAGGGTGATTTTCCAAAGTCACACATGGACCAGGGAGGACCCGAACCCAGGATTTGCGATTCCAAATCCAGAGCTCAAGACATCAGGCTGCCTCTCCTCATGTGGACGTGTGTGTGTGTGTGTGTGTGTGTGTGTGTGTGTGTGTGTGTGTGTGTGTGTGTGTGTGTGTGTGTGTGAGACAGATCATTTTATAATAGCAGTTTATATAATCCCAGAAGCACAGCAGCAGCAAAAGCCTCAGACAACAGTCAATCTACAAGCAGGGTGCTAATACTGTACCCCAGGACTAGCAATATAAAGGCATTGTGTGGAGTTGCGGCTAGTGTTGGAATTGGGACTGGGTTAAGTTGTAACCTCTATCCTATTGGCTTCGGTTTCCCCATCTGTAAAATGGGGATAAGAGAATCACCTACCTCCCAGGGTCAAGGCTCACATGAGAAGATATGTGACGTACTTTGCGAATTTTGATGTGCTATATAAATGTTGGCTGTTACTATTATTACCATGTCTATATCCTGAGCGCCTAGCACAGGGCCTTAAGAGATACCTGTTAAATTGAACTAGCTGAAATCTAGCATTCATTCAGACTCCCAGAAAAGACATACTTCAAAATACCCATCTGGGCATCCTCCCTCTGACTGAGATTATAAATAGAGACAGGGGCACAGAACAGAATGTGGTGGAGCAGAAAGAATAGAAAACTTGACTCTGTCTCTTACTAGATGTGTGACTTTTGGCAAAGCAAATAACCCAAGTCCAAGTTCCCTCAGTTATAAAATGAGGACAAATAGCCCCTGCCTGAGTTCTTGGAAGGAAGACACTTAAGAAGTGTGACCTACTACTGCTGTTCTTTTCATGGTTCTAGGATGTATTGGGTTGTACTCTGTCCACAGATCAACACTATTTCCAGCAAAGCTATTGCCTTCATTTCTCTTGGGCAATAAGAATAGCTATTCAAAGGCAACCAGGAATTCGATGCTCTCAGACTTCCCTTTCCTTTACTTCTTGCTATTTGAGTAATACTTCAGCTTTGCCACCAATTTCTCTGCCCAAGAGCCATGTGTTCTTAGGAATCACTACCTCTAGAAGTCAAGTATATAGGGATAAACACTTGAAAGGATGAGGGCCCTCCTTTTGGTAAGCTAGGATCAAAAACTTGCCCAGCCTGAAGGCTTCAAAGGGAAAAAGTTGCATTATCTCAACTGAACTGTCATTTGCTTAGCAAGTCAGTGCACAGATGCCAATAACAGACCATTGAGACTTCCTAGACTAAAATATAAGTAGGACTGGCTGCATTGAGCCACAGTTCCTATCCCAATTTACTAGGTGGGTTTTCATAGGTGGCTAGGTGGACTAATTTCAGCTAAAGAGAGAGAGAGACACACACACACACACACTCACTCTAGAGTAGGTTATTTGGTCTTTCCAGTCACACAAAGAAGAGACAATGTATAGCCCCACCCCACACACCCCAGGGCCATCAGAATTCCCTACTTGGCTAAAGGCAAATACAAAAGAAAGCCTCCACCATAGCCTCAAAATGGAAGGCAGCTGTGACATACTGGTTTGAAGACAGAGGACCCGAGTTTGAATACTGGCTCTGCCACTTACCAGCTGTGTGACCTTAGGATAGACACTTCCTGTCTTAGGGCCTCAAGTTTCCTCCTCTGTAAAATTAATCAGAGATTTGTAACCTTTTTTGTGTCATGACCCCCTTTTCAGAATATTTTTTAAATGCACAAAATACAAAGGATTACAAGGGGGAAGGAATAAGAATTTATGAAGTGCCTACTATGTTAATAGGCACTTTTCCCAAAGATTCACTCATTTGATCCTCACAACCCTGTGAAGTAGGATATTATGATGCCTATTTTACAGCTGAAGAAACTGAGGCAAACAGGTTAAATGACTTGCCCAGGGTCACACAACTGGTAAGTGTCTGAGGGTGGATTTGAACTCAGTTCTTCCCAATTCCAGGTCTAGCACTCTTAACTACTGCCCCATCAAGCTGGGAAACCAATTACATTAAAAGGTCATCAAAATATTAAAAAGAGAAGTTCACAGAATCCAAGTTAAGAACCCCTGGAACAGATGATCCCTAAGACCCCATTCAGTTCTCTCCTACTCTACTGTGATACTCTCTGAAAACCAGTAGCAGCCAAGTATGCTCAGAGAGGAGTGCTAAAAGAGGTTAATCCGGCACATTTGGCAGAGCAGGGCTGGGTGCGGAATTCAGGAGAGGAATCCTAAGGCTAAGTGACATCTGAAAGAGCGCAGGATTCAGTTCCATAGTGAGAAGACACCACCAGCAAAAGATAAGACTATGGATGTTTCATAACATCTGCAGAAATGTTTCAAGACCCCTGATAAATCAAAGGAAAATTTGACTGGTTAAGTTAAGCTATTTATTTTATACAATACACAAAGAAAGCTAGTTACATGGGCACACAAACCAGTACCTTCCTACCTTTCTGTACTACTGAACATCCAATGAGAAGAAAGAAAATTCAAGCCCACGTTATACTGCAATTCCACTTGTTTAAAATCCAGTCAACTGAACTGGGAGTTACAAAATATAACTGGTATCACATCCAATCCAATGTTTTCTTTCATTCATTCAACAAGTATTTGTTGAACCGAAATGGAACGTTCCCATTTAAAATAAAAAAAAAAGTTTAAAAGCCCAAGCACAGACGATCAGTTCATGCATTTTATTGATAGACTATAACTTAAATTTGCAGTATGACATTTACATAGGAAATAAACTCCTCCCAAAAGAGAACTATCAAGAAGAAACTGCTTTAATATGACCCTTCAGGGTTTTTGCTTTGAAATAAACAGGTTCATTTTTAACAGATTTAAAACATTGTACAAAAAAGGAAATGCAATACAATCTCATTTAAACACAGGTCTGCTGGAGGAGTGTCGAGTTCAGGTCAAAATGAAAGAAAAACGAGAAACCAGAGAAAGCAAGGCAGCCAAGTAAATGCATTCTGAGCTCCATTCTGTTTCTGGAATGGAAGGAGGGAAAGCCTCTCCTGCAGATCAGGAAGCCGTGGGATGACAAGTACTGGTTAGTCTTCACACAACAGACATTTCTACACAAAGCCAGTGTTAGTTGCTCTTCCCCCTCCCAATCCCCTCCCCAGGTTCTCATGGGCTTCAGAAAGTTCCCAGGTTTGTCACCCAGTTTTTTGACATAGACCCAAGTAAACATCTACCCATAGCAGCACGTCCCAGGAGAAGATTAAACAGGCAGATACAGAAGCCAATTAACTGCACACCTACTGGACTAGTTACTTGACAGTATGATTTGACCCTACTCCCTAAAGCAGCACCAGAACACAGGAGCTAATAGGAAATAAAATCTCAGGGCTCTGCAGGTGCCCACATCAAAGCACAGCAGGATAAGGGTGTTAGTAAAGGAGCACTAACTATTTAGAATGAAGGCTGGGGAACTGATGCAGCCATACCTTGCAAGGTACTGCAGTAAGTATACAAGACAGGGACTGCTAGAGGAGCCTTGAAAATACCAAGGCACAGTGTGGCATAATAGGATTGTTAACCACCTCTGCATCTCATTCAAATATATATGTATATATTTATATATATATATATGTATGTATATATGTGTGTATGTGTATATATATGTGTGTGTATGTGTGTGTGTGTATACACACACACACATACACACACACATACACACATTTCTCTCTCTCAACCCAGGTGGCTATAATGCAACCTATGGGTGTGCTTTCTGAAAGTTGTTTTCAGAACAAAAAAACAAATCCTCACTGCAACTGTATTTGGGAACAGATTTTAGACACGTGATTTGGTGCCTACAGAAATGACAAGAGACTGTAATCAAAAAGGTTAAAGAAACAGAATGCCTTCTGAGTTGCACCATCACCTTAACGGCGCCACCGCGCTGGTGCATCAGATGGCTGAACCCAAACTCCAGACACTTTTGGTTGCTCTCACCTAAATAAAATGGTGCAAACAACTCGCTCAGGTCAGGATAATTGCTAGAAAAAGTTTCGGTGAAACCAAAGGCCCTTGATTTCAAAACTGCAAAGTTAAAGAAAGGGCAGGCAGCAAACCACCACTAGCTTAGGATTCCAAGAGTCAAAAAGGGTTACACATCCAGCCTTTGGCTCTTATCCTTCCAATCACCATATGACTTGCGGCCTTATTGTCCCAAAGGGTCACCCCCTCCCACCCCACTCACAAGTATATGTTTAATCTACCCATAGCCAGGTAGACAACAGCACTGTTATTCACCAAAAAAAATACTGAAATGTATTCTACCTTAAAAACAGGTGTCTTGGCCTTTGTGTTCAAGGAGATGATCTAGTCACCAGTTAGCTCCATGCCAGGAGACATGCCAGGCATATTTTGGCTTCTTTGAACTTCAAAATTAGTAATGATTTTTGACAGGGAAATCATTGAAGGGAAAACCCTTTTCTTTTTTTCTTTTAAGGCAGAAAACCTATCTTCTTATTTTTGAGACTCTGAAAATCCTCCCTTGTTGAAGAGGTGTCAAAATGGCCACAAGGTGTCACTGTAAGCCAGTTCAAGAAAGAACTGACCATAGCGAAGACAGCTTTGGGTTGTTTTTTCCCCCTCCCTAGTAGACAGGTATTTGGAAAACAACCAAGCCTAAAGATAGCCCTCTTCAAGTCATCACCATTTGGTAAAGAGAAATCATATTTCAATTAAGGATAATTTCAAACAACAGTGACACTAAGCACCAGAAAAAAATTTTTTTTTTTGGGGGGGGAGTAAGGTGGGGCAGGGAAGGTACAATGAGAAGAGGAAAAATTACTTGAAGTAATGCTAATACCCAACCAGTTTCTAAAGATTCAGATGAAGGTCAACATCTGAGAAGAAATCAGCTTAAAAAGATCACTGGGTCAAATGAAATTCTAAAGCATAAATCTCTTGTTACTAAAGTAACAGGAAAAATCTATCTCCCTCCAACCAAGCAAACCTTCCAGAACCCCATTTACACCGAGGGAGGTGTTCCTTTCTGAGCAATTATTCAAAGTGCTTCATGTTACTGAGAAAGTTTGCACTTGTAGAACCTAACACTAACAAATCTCAGTTGATTTGATCAATTGCTTAGAGTCAAAACAAAAAGCTTTCAACACATTTTTCATTATTTAAAATGGAAACACTCCAGAAAATTCTTTCTGGTTTTCAGTATTCCTCTAAACTTAATAGTTAAATCTCATTTCTTGAGGGTGTTTTTTTTTTTGTGGTTGTCATTGGTTGGCCCAGACCCGATTCCACTGGTGTGGGTAGCTTCCAGCATGGAAACTCCCTCTCTATTCTCTTCCTCTGCACAACTGCAACTTCTCAGTAAGTCATAGAAAGTTGCCCTGGGCACTGAGAGGTTAGTTAAGTGAACTTGCCTGGGGTCATAGAGGGAGTGGGAGTGAGTGAGTGAGTGAGTGAGTGAGAGTGAGTGTGTGTGTGTGTGTGTGTGTGTGTGTAGGATTCGAACCCAGGGCTTCTGGCCCCAAAGCCACTATATAATGCTGCCTCTATCTTGATACTATTATTGCATACAGACTTAAAAGAGAGAACTGTTATGCAAGTAACTAAAACTACAGATGCACAATGAGGCATAGTCTCTTAAAAAGGGAACAGGCTCTCAAAACAATAGGCATTCAGCTGCTAGTTGGGAAAATAGATATCAATTTTTGCTCTCCACTGTACATCTGACCCCTGCTAATGATCAGGGCGTAAGTCAATCTCCATATTCCCAGTAAGATACATAAGTTACAAATTTTGTAAAGTTCAAAAATAAAGTATTTATAATTAAGTAGTAAACCCCATTTCACAATCCAATGGAAGAGTAATGAGTGCTTCTGAAAATGATGCCTCCAACGTGCACGTTAGAAGCATCATGTGCATTCTACCGCAAAACAAAAACTCCAACTGTTTCCAGTGCCTATGGAGAACAGCTCCCACAACCTCGTTCATTAGTGTTAACATTCTATAGGACCCGCTTCTTTAATACTTGCTAAAAGAATACGTCATAGAAGGTAAAGGTAGATGGCTAGAGGTGCCCTGTCCTCTATAAAAGCTGCTTCTATGCCTAAAATGTGCTGCATTTGTTTCAAAGCCAGCCGAGGCTGAACATTTCCCACTTCCTCCCCATGCAATGGAATGTTCCACAGAGAGGAGATCATTTCTAGCCAATAAGAAAACCACCCCTGTGGATTTGCAAAGAGTGGCTTGCACACCCTCTGAAAAGAAAGCAAGGCTGTGCTCCAGAATGGAATGGAATTCTCAATCTTCAATGTCCAATTTCACTTTTTAAAAGACAAAATTCATCATGGATATGACATAAAAGTGACCTCTGCTCACTCTTTTTAACAAATGAGGCTTTGTTTGGATTTTGGTGGGGCTTCATTGCAAGAGCAGCACAAATTCTTAGTAAACTGCCAGGCTAATGCTGGTTAAGGTACCCAGATAATGTCCAAAGCAGACTCAATTGTTTACTTTGAAGGACATTTGAATACGCCTGGCCCCCTCAGCCCATCTGGTTAGAAATGCTGCTCAAACAAGGCCAAGGACCTGAGTTCCACCCCAATTTGGGCCGGTTTGCACTGTTTAAAAAACAGCCCAAAATCCTGTTCCATAAGCTCCCCCAAGGCAGAGCTCTCAGGTGCATCTGCTGGTCATAAGTGGTACCATACAAGTGGTTGGGCATTATCACAAACCCTTCCCTGCTACCAAAGAAACAAGCTAAAGGTGTGCTTGTGTTCTACTACTACTGGATGGAGGAAGGGGAATGTCAGTACTGACATCTTCAACTACAGGAAAGAAGAGCATATCTGAACTCTGAATATCAAATATAGCCCAATATTACTAACACTTTCAACAAACTGGGGGAGGGGTAGCAAGGCTTAACTTCTTAAATGGACTTTAAAAGAAGAAATGTTAAGATGGTATATCTATATTAAAGGGATAGTAACTAAGATAAGACTGAGTATGTTTTAACCTTTAAATAGCAAAACTCTGAAATGACAAAACCTCAGTGCTCTTTCATTCAGAGCACATGTCTATAGCAGCTAGAATTCTGCTAAAATGTGTTTTAAGTCCTGCACCTCCACTATCACTTTTTGGGGCAGGTTAGTCTGTAACATTAAGAGTGAGAGAGTCGTGAAAAGTTCAGTTCTGTACTATGTGGGTTTGTTTTTTGTTTTTTATTCAAAAAACAAAACAAAACCAAAAACTCAATCAACATTGCTGAAAATTCAACACAGCACCCTCACCTACAATTAATAGAATGGCATCAAGCCTGTGTTGACCTCTTTGTGTAAAACTGGCACATTGGAGTGACTACACCAAGTGCAAGTTAAGCTCTTCAGAGCTTTCTCTCCTTCGACTGACCCCTTGCTCTACCCCAACCCTACCCATCTCCTTTCTGCTGGCATTCCTGAAGCTTCAAATATCATCACTAAAATGCTCTTTATTGGTCTTGAATGCAATTAGAGGACTAAGTTCTGAACTCTGTCCTGCTCATTTCAGGTTACTGCAGCTGTTCATATAAAGGAATAATTCTAGATAAGCTGTTCTTGACAATCACATATGTTAACAAATACAGCTTTGTATCATTGTTGTGTGTTTCTACAGATACTGGCCCTCATTTGAAAAGTCATCTTTTTACATCTAAGCATAGTGCTTTTTAAAATTTTCAATGAATACAACACTGTACTGGATAGAGTATTGAGCCTCTACAAAAAAAGCCTTACATTTTTAACCCCCCCCCCCGTGATTTTATTTAAACAAGCATAGGCATTTTTATTATTTCCACAACAAGATAAATATCCCAATTAAACTATCATAGCTCACGCTACAGTGTGTGCCAGTGATCGGCTTAGGAGACAGCTATACAATTAGAAGACCCTAACTTTAGTGTTATTTACACTGACATGCCCATCTAATCAGTAATTATAACAAATTATATTATCGATTTAAATGAATTTAAACTAATGGCTGGAGATAGTACAGCTTCGATGTTAAAAAAAAAAATTTACATGAAATCTAATTCCAACCTGGGCTTCCATTTCATACAGCTCTCTCCTGGATGGGACAGGGCTAGATCTTTCAAGATCAAAATGAAACTGAGAGGAACCATCACTAAGACATATCTTTTAAAATAATTAAGAGAAACCAAAAATACTTATGATAAAATTATGTTCAATAAAACAGATACTTATTGATACTCAAAGTCAGATTTCTGGGCCCTAAAACGTTGCTGTTTAAAGTAACTGGCTTTTATTTCACATAGGAACTGGGAAAGGGGTGAACATTTTATTGGAAGCAGAGATGCACTCCAGGATATTACACTTAACACCACTCAAAAAGTGGCCATAAAGCAAGTGACATCTGTTTGCAGGTTTTGCCCATCGCTCTAAACAGCCAGATAGCTCCAAGTCCAGAACTCAATTAGACAATACTCTCTCTGTTTCCAGAGGTTAAGACTGCTCTCCGACAAATGGGACAAGTGGAATTTTCTGATAACCAGCGGTCGATGCAGTGAACATGGTATTCATGAGAACAAGGTAGTTTCCGCAGCTTGTTACCTTCAGTGTATTCGGTAATACAAACACTACAGGTTTTCAATGCATCGCTCTCACCAAAATTTCGCATTGCCAGGTTGTCGATCTGCTCTTTGGTGAGTCCTCTTGGCTGGTCATCATCCTCCTCATTTAAGAGGAAAAACTGAGCTAGACTAAGGAAAGGCAAAGAACCACTTTCTTCAAAAGTGACCGAGCTCCTATCTCTAGTTCTACCTTCCCGTCTAACACCAGATGAACTGCCTTCGTTGCTACCATCATATAATTCAGAGTTAGAATCCATACTCTCAATGCTGGAGCTGCTGCTGCTGCTACTGGCACCTCCGCCAGCACTAGTACTAGCACTGATGCCACCTCCACTACTGCTACTACCCAAGCCTGCATTCTGAAGTTCTGGGTCCTCAAGACTTGGACTTAAGGATGGGCCACTGGGGTCTGTGTCACTATCACTGTACATGAAGTAGCTTAATTCACCAAAGCCAGTCATTATCTGCCTTAACATTGTCTGAATCGCAACCGAAGTAGTCTCACTTAATCCTGTATTTAAGATTCTACGGATGGGAATTCTGATAGTGCTCACATAAGTTCTTACTCCTGCTCTCTCTGAACGTGAAAACGTGCGCCTGAACCCTCCACGCTCACTTTCGTAAGTGACCGTGTTATTTGTCGACTGAGATCTCGACCGAGTTCTACTAGCTATGCTGTCTCTCTGTCTATATTCCCCTGGACGAACTCTTCTCACTTGAAGATCAAGGACTATAGTTGGAGGTCTCTGTCCAGGAGCTAGAGATTCACTACTCCCACTGGTTTCTGAAGAACCTGATGCCTGAGGTACATTCCTCATGTCAGAAGTTGAAAACGAAACGGCGTTTTCATTTGACAGATCAGTTCCCATCATGTGTTGTCTCAATGTCACATGCTGCCTGGTTCTAGAACTGCCCTCAGCCTCATTTCCCACAGAATGCTCCAAAGTCTGAGATGTGACATTGTGATGGCCTCTTCGGGGAAGCTCAGTTACTGAAATCAAAGGTGACCTACTTCTGTCCGTCCTCGCTCGGATCCTCCGTTGCTCTGGACTCCTGCTTCTTGCTCTTCTCTGACCTCTGGGAAGAGACACTTCTTCAGTTAATTCCTCAAGGGCGCTCCTTTCAGGTCCGTGCTGCCTGATAAATGGCGACTCGGCTCTTGGAGTTTCCATGTCACTCGGGCCATTGTTTTCTATATCTTCTGCAATGGAAGATTCTGCAGGCGGGTCATTTTCATTCTCTGAATTCGGGGTCCCATTACGGTTCACGTTGATTTCCAAACTGAATCTGAAATCACCACTGTTTGGATTAGTCCTGCTCACGGCTCGCCAAGACTGATTTCCTCTCTGTCCGCTTCTAGTTGTATTTCCAGTCTGTCGGACTGAATTAAGCCAGTCTATGATGGAATCGCTGTTAGAGACATCATCTGCTGATTCTATAAGGAAAAAAAAAAAAAGAAAAAAAAAAGAAAGAAAAACAGGAACTACAAAAATTAGGACTACCAAAAAAAATTACCACTCCTTAACTTTTCTAAGACTCCAAAACAACAAAATGAGAACTTCAAAAATTCAAAGTAGACTTCACGTTGATGGAATAATACTGCAAAGTGCTTATAAGGGACACAGTACTGATTTACATGCACAGCATTAGCACCTAACCTGAGCACAGTACACAAGGGGACGAGCTCAGGAACAAAAATGGACTGCTGGCTGCAGAGGCCAGACCTCCCCATCTGAGGCCCTACCTCCCACTGGCAGGGCAACACCATAAAAGCTGAGGATACAGAGCCCAGAACATTTTTATTTGCTCGAGAGGAAGTAACTGTTCTGTGGAAAGGAACTAGTAAGCAATGGGAAAATTCAGGGTAGTTGGGGAAATCAAGAAAAAAAGTTCTCATTTAAATGGTCCACATCTTACTCCACCCCAACAGAACACTGACCAGGCCGCTAAAAAACAGCACAGCAAATATCTCACTTGTCTGAGAATTCAGATTCATTTGCCCCCATTTATGCATAATTTATGGCCTCTAGTCAATACCTAAGTAGTCCCCCCTTTTCTTAATCTCCCCCAAATATTATATACCTCTATTCTCATCATTGTTTTGTTGTGGGGGACCTTCTTTAATCTGATGAAGTCTTCTCAATAATTCTTCTTCAGTAATCTCACCTGAAAACAGTTTGAAAACGTTGCTCAATTATAAAGGAAAGAGAAGCAATGAATGCTAACCATAAAAGGAATGAGATTGAGGTTGGTAACCTTTTAAAAAATCATTTTGGAGGAGGGAAAGGGACAGACAATAAAGGAAGCACACTACTTCATTCTTTTGGGTCTAGAAGGCATTGAGAGTCCATCATTAAAATGCAAATACCCCAAGGAAGAATGTCACTGGCACACTATGAATCCGCTAACAAATACCACAGCAGAGAGGCAACTGGAGGGGAAGGGCCTGGGCATATCAGCAAAAGACAGAAGGGGCCAAAGACAAAATTTCACCTACTTTGCAATTTTGCCTTGGAACTCACATACCTCAGCCCCTCCTCACCATTCCTTGACCTTACCTCTTATTCCACAAACTCATTTCATGTGCCACCTTCAGTATGTGCCTTAAGGTGTCAACTCCTAGTCTAGACTTTGCTCATCAACTGTTTGCCTAACCTATCACTTGCTGCTCTATAGCTAAGGCTAAAACTCGAGTAAAGCCTACATTTTTTCACCCTACCCATAGTCACAGAAGTGGGTTATGCATATTAGAAACATCATTATCAATTTGTGCATACCTATACTGTATTCACAGACCTAAGAGGGATTCTAAAGACATTTAAGTCCATCTCAAGAGGCAGTGGTTCACGTGAACCACAGTACTCTGTATCTGTAGTGTCCCAAATGCAATGTCCATGTTACTACTACCCTCCAAAAAAGAGGATGATAGTAAGATGATAATTAAGAACCATTCATTGCTAGTCAGTACATGGCAAATGGTAATAAAATAGCTGTGAATAAGATCAGATAATACAAAGCAATGGTTAGTCAACTCAAGAATCATTCTAGCATATGCACATAAACCAGGGGTGGGGAACATGTGGCCCTCTAGGTCTTCAAGTGTGGGCCCTTTGACTGAATCCAACCTTCATAGAACAAGTCAGTTCAGTCAAAGGGCAGCACTTTTGGACCTAGAGGGATACACGTGACCTCAAGGCCTGCAGGTTCCCCACCGCATATAAGCCCTTGGGCAAGTGTTTAAACTCTCTGGGCCACAGCTTCCACTTCTGTAAAATAAGAGAACTAGACAAGATGACTTGAAGTCCCTTCCAGATCTAAACTTATAATTCTATGATCAGCGGCACCAAATTATTGTAACCATTCAAATACAGCAATACAATGGTTAAAGAAACTATCTGACAAAAAAATCAAATTAAACAATTTTAAAGTCAATAATTTACACATGTAAATCCTCAAAATTACATAGAACATACCTGGAGTACCTAGCAAATTGTTATCCCTCATAAGCCTATAATCTTCTTCACTCAGATTATTTACAAAGTGGTAGAAAGCTTCTTCCCGGTCCAATCGATCCAGCTGCCGCCTACGTTGTGCTTCAGATTGATCAACATTTCCTTTCTCATTAGAATCAGAGTTTTCCATTGTGATGAACGAATGGAAAATTATCTAAGAGAAGGAGGAAAAGAGACTGCTCATCTAGAAAACAGCACACAGATCAACCTAAAAATATTCACTATCCTTTTCCTACCATTAACATTGACAGAATTTATCAGATAGGTGAATATACTCTATATGACTTAGAAGAAACTGCCTCAAGGTTTTATGGTAAGAAATAAAGTTTGCTAACAAACTTTTAAGTACACAACTAAGTTATCTGTTAACCATTGAAAAGTATAGGTATATACTTCTGAGTAAGTATTCAGAAAATACAGAAGCTCACCAGGAAAATTCAATAAGTATAAGGACTTAAAAGGAATATTTTGCCAGGTTTCTGTGCGGTCAACTAGCAATTTTCCATGCTAATGAAGGTGTACATTTTATGGAACCTAAAGACTGGGAACGATATAAAAATCAATTTTATTTGGTTTATGCTTCCCTCCACCTTTCCTCTTAATTATATTTTGATTAAGCCAACATTAAAATCAGCCTGCATTCCACAATCAATCAACAATGGCGGGGAGGGGGTAAAGGAGGGGACAGGGCAGTATTTCAAATCTGCAACAGGCATGGAATTAAAAGTTCTTTTACTACAAGGTTTCCTTTAATTTACCAAAGATGCTGGGGAAAGTTCTTTGAGGTTTTTTGACAAAATCAATCAGAAGAAAAAAAAAGATTCATCTCCTATATGCATGTGAACCTGGCAGAAGTTTCGAGATCACGTGGCAATAGTCATGACTAGAAATAAAAAACTTCCCTTTACCAAAAAGAAAAAAAAAAGCAAACCCCAAACTAGCAAGAAGTCTTTTCTTGGAAAGGGCATTTGGGTCCAGGCTTCAGTTCCTGGAGCTCTCTCCAGTTCTTCCTAGATTGTACCTGGAACTATTCTGTCGTCTTAGAAAAAATAAAATACAAATCACTTTAACAACTCTTAGAAAGACTCAGTTTCCCAAGATAGTTAACAGAAAGATTCATCCACTTTGTTAAAATTGTTACAAAAATGTTGGTCTTACACAAACTAAATACTCTGAGGTGACCTCAAAAAGAAAACTTAAATAAGTTAACTTATAAAATCCTATAGTGCAAATTTTAAAAACAATGGGAAACTCACATTTTTTTCCATTAAGCCCAAATACATCACATGCAACCAGAAACCGATTCCATACTTGGAAAGAGCTAAGGGATTATTTCTTGAATGTCAATGACTTAACACTAAAAATCAGGAACCTACAAATTCATATATGCTTTAGGGATATGACCAAGAAAAAAACCCTCTAAACTTCTGACCATACAATTATGAACAATCCTGATTAAAAAGAAAACAGCAAGGCATCTATGGAAGGCCAAAGGAAGCTGAGAGCTCCCCAATGAGCTTCTTAAAAAACAGGTGTTCAGAAGGGACACAGAGACAAGTGAGAGTCCAAGAGTTGTATGAAGAGTAACAGGAAGGCTAAAATGTCAGTATCTGCTAAAGTCTGCAAAAACAGACGTCCAAGATACCAAGGAAGGCTGCCACCTTCTTCAGCAAGGAGCGTGATCTTCAAAATGAAAAGGAGGGCGCGAAAATGATTAAGAGGGAATTGGAAACCAAGGGCTCCAAGGCCAGTGCTCTTTCGGCTGTTCCACACGGTCTCCTTACTTATAGGTCTAGGAAAAATATTACCAAAATCCATTGAGAATAGTAAAGATGCCAAGAATCTCCAGGGAAATAGTGAGAAGGAAGGGGCCTGAGTGGTACCAAATTCAGAACTATGCTGCAAAGCAGAAATCATCAAAAAACCGATTGGTGGAACAGACTAGGTATACAACACACAGAAACAAACTCAAAGACCCTGACTACTGAGGAAAGAACTCCCATTTGTAAACTGAAGACCAGAAAGGAGCCTCGTAGAAATGAGGTTTAGTGATAGTGATGACAAGTAAAAAGGAAAAGAAAGGTAAGTGTCACTGAAACATTTCAAACAAAAGGAAGTTCACACAGACAAAGACAAGCAGGACAACTTTGAAATTAACATGACAAATTTATGATACACTTGAAAATTCACGGTTGTGTTTGTCAAGTTCAGAATAATAAAAAATTAAAAGAATTTGAAGGTACTGGACATAAGGAAAGCCAAATAACCTCACACAAAACCCCACAGTGATAACATGTGGACAGGAAACAACTTGTTACTGATGTGGGAAGCAGCCTGGATCTGTTACAGCAAAAATCAAAATTAGTACAAAGCCAGGAGAATAAAAAGGAGAAAAAGATATTGTATAATTAAAAGAACTCCTACCTGACCTATTTAAGCAAATTATTGGTGATAAAATATAAGCTATAAACAGAAGGATTTAGACACTGATTACAATCATTTGATTTAGAAGTATAACCAATATGAATCAATTGCCATAAAAAGGAAACCAAAAGAGCCAAAAACATGCCCCAGCTGGCAAACACGTGCCTTACTTTGCCCAGTGGAGAGATATGGCAGCCAAAGACCCTACCAATTTAGAACATGATAAACTGGTTTGTATTACCTTACAGAGAAGAATGGCAGAAAATAAGCAGTATTGCTTTAAAAACAAAAAAGGCAATGGAGGTTAAAACAAATTTAAAGAAAGCCAGACAAAAGATTTCACCTTAATTAAAGTCATCCCAAGAGCACTGAAGGATGAAAATGGCGGGATAACAAATAGAAGAAAAACGGAAAAGAACTTGTGAAGATTATCACCAAAAAAATCTTTTCATCACCATTAAGAACAGTGGGACCAACTCACTGGTCTCTTCACATCACAGTCCTTTCCTGTAAGTGCTTATAGAGGAAGAAGTGGCACTAAAGCAGACAGACAGGAACAGCAGCTGGAGACAACACAAATGTGAGGGTGCTCAGGCATTAAAAAATCCTGGACCTTAGTTTTCTAAAGAATAACCAATAGAATATCAACAATTACCTATCCACAGGCCTACTTTCCTATTTATAATTTTTTTTGGGTAATAACCTATATATGCATTGAAAGCAACCTTAAGGAGAGTATTAGAAAGGAACAGGAAGGCTTTCTCAAGCAATATTCCACAGTAGACATCTTGATCATCACACAACTAAGGGATATATGTAATACAAGATCCCACTGGGCCTGTTCGATGACTAACAAAAGATGTCTCCTATGCATACGTCAAAACCACGCAAGATTCCTTGAAAACAATAATGACAGACAACAACTCTGTTTAATGAGGCATACATATCAGGCAAAGAATAAAACAAGGAAAGGTCTGCTCCCTAAAGCTGTTCACCACTGTCACAGAACTCCACCAGAATCCAAGCTGAAGAGGCATTCCCTCTAATAAGTCGGCTCTTCCAGATCCTCCTGTTTATTTACTGATTGCATCAGGCACCAGAAGGTTGCAGAGCCTCCTCAATGAGTTCATAATCACTCCAAAGAGGTGGGCCTAAACAGCTCTTCTCCTCTCAAAGAAAAAATAAAAGGATCAAGAATGCACATTATCTGCCACTATTAGGACTATAGCCCAAAGAGATCAAAGAAAAGGGAACAGCACCTAGATGTACAAAAATATTTCTAGCAGCTCTTTTTGTAGTGGCAAAGAACTGGAAATTGAGGGGATGGCCATCCATTGAGAAATGGCTTAGTAAGGTGTGGTCTATGACTGTGATGGAATACTATTATGCTATAAGAAATGACAAGCAGGACGGTTTCAGAAAAACCTGATAAGACTTACATGAACTGATGCAAAGTGAAGTGACTAGAACCAGGAGAACATTGTGCACAGTAATATTGTATTGATGATCAACTGTGAATGATTTAGCTACCCTGATCAAGACAATTCCAAAGGACTCATGATGAAAAATGTATCCACCTCCAGAGAGAACTGATGAACTCTTGAGTACAGACCGACGCAGATTTTCTTTCACTTTCTTTGTACTTCTTGCTTTTTATATTTTTTTACATGACTAATATGGAAATGTTTTGCATGACTTCACTTGTATAACTGATTATCATTTTGCTTGCCTTCTCAATGGGTGAGGGAAGGATGGGGAGGGAGACAGAGAATTTAGAGCTCAAAATTTTAAAAATATGAATGTTAAAAATAAAGTGTGAAAAAAAAGAGTACACATCTTCCACACTATGAGACATACAGAGCATATCCACCAGTTTGTCTACCTATCTATATCTTCAACAGGCACAGAAAAGGGACAATGGAGAGTTGGGTCCAAAATCAGCTGGATTATTGCCTTTGGGGACCCCCTTAATGATCCACAACTTTTTTTGGTGAAACAAAGTTTCATCTTTTTAATACCAATACTGGCGACTGTGTTTAGCTGTGAATCAACAGTCTCAAAATAATTAAAAATGAGGATCACTCAGGAAAATGGAAGGCATAAGTAGGCTGTAAGACATAAAGAACTATGCCGCAGCCATAACACAAAGGGTATTCAGACTCTTGATGTGACCATCCCTACTAACTGTTCTATACCCATGATTCAGAACTCAGATTTTTTTCATCTGACCATAACATCCTATCCTTCAAACTCTTAGCTCATTCTTCTGAAACCGATTCTCTATCATACCCCACAGTAATAGAAGAATACAAGAACTGTCAGGTGGCAGTAAAAGCCCAATTGAAGGGCATTAATTTGTAGTGGGTCTAAGTGGCATCATCACAGGACTTTGTCCAGTGCCATTCAGCAGTATATGAGTAGGAAATAAGAAAACAGATGGTGTGGGTAACTTAGGATAAGAATTTTTTTCAAGGCATGACTGGTGACAGGATAAAGGGGCAATAGATTCAAGGTTAGAAGACGGTGTATGGGGGGGGGGGAGATGGTGTATGGTTTAATTAGGCAGCTACAGGGTTAAGAATGAAGTGAAGGAAGTAAGACCAGAATAGAGGCAGCTAGACATAAGAGATAAGAGCATAGGACTTGAAGTCAGGAAGACCTGAGTTCAAAAGCTGCCTCTGACACCTGCTAGCTGGGTGGCCCTGGGCAAGTCACTTAACCTCTATCTGCTTCAGTTTAGGGGTCATAATAATAGTACTCAACTCCTAGGGTTGTTGTGAGGATAAAATGAGGTAATATTTGTAAACTGCTTTGCAAACCTTAAAGTACTATCAGAATGCTAGCTGTTATGATGATTACAATGGAAACACCCAACACATAAGACAACAAAGTTATGAAAGACATTCCTTTAGAGTTGTTGATTGACACTGCTCCACCTTACTCTTTCCTTGTGGTCTTTCCACTGTGCTCACTCCTCTTCAGAGAGCTTCCAAATGAGTAAACTCTTAAACACGTAACTGAGAGAACCAAAACGCTTTTTTTGCAGGGGGCTTAGCAGTCCAAAACCAAGCCAAGCCACTGTGACTTTGTTGATTTGTTAAACCAGTTGTTGCTTGGCTGGTAAGGAGAGAGGGGTCTTCAAAGTTGTCTCTTTGTACATTTTACCAGAACTATTTTATAAATAGAATCCACTAGAGAACAAGCCGCCAGATCAGGGTCTATCTCGCATTCATGAGCAATCTTCTAATAATGATTAGATCAAACTTTGTCATGTGGTCAAACAAACTGGTACAGCAGAAAGAGCAGAAGGCCCGGGGTTCAAGACCCAGCTCCAAAGTTTACTAGCTAGGAGACAATGGGCATACCATTCCTCTTGTAAAATGTGAAATGATACTTGAACCATCTATGTCTTAGGGTTGTTGTAAGGAAAACGATATACATAAAGGTGAGCTACTATCAAAATATTATGCCCCCCAATCCACTTTAAATTTAAATCAGTAAGAAAATCAAATGAAATTATGCCAATGTTATATCTAAATCTCAATGAAAATTTAGTTTATCTTAAATTCTGAAATGTTAGCTTAGTGATCCTAATTTCTTTTATTGTTGTTCAGTTGTTTCAGTTGTGTCCAACTCTTCATGACTCCATTCAGGGCCTTCTTGGCAGAGATACTAGTTTGCCATTTCCTTCTCTAGCTCATTTTACAGATGAGGAAACTGAGGCAAACAGAGTGAAGTGACTTGCCCAGGGTCACACAGTTAGTAAGTATCTGAGGCCAGATTTGAACGCAGGAAGACAAGTCTCCCCAACTTCAGGCCCAGCACTGTGTTTACTGTGCCACCTGGCTGCCCCATAATTTCACTTATAGTCCCTGTCATATACTAACACAAAATATGCCAATTAATATTATTTTTTATCACTACTAATAACATAGCATTTTAGATCTTCCCACCCCATGTACAATGGCCTTGGGGGCATATAATTGGGTTACAGGGCTTGTGAAATAGAACAGGAATATAAAAACCTAAGTCTTCATTAAATAGAATTAATTCAGAAAACATTTAGAACATAGCATATTTGTGAAGTCTGGCAGAAATTACCTTTGAAAATAAGATGTCAAGGTAACTTAAGCATCATTCAATTCCCACAACACACCACGCACTTTGCTTCTCTCTTTCTTCCAAGCTCCAAAATCTGGAATTTGTCCAAAACAGAAAAGGTCAGAATGGCCATGAAAAAATTCACAAAAGTTAACTCATCAGATACAAATTCTACTTATAGCAGAGGCTCAGAAAGGAGTTAAGGAGAATTAAGAAAGCCAAGTGGATAGCTTAAGTGGGCTACTGTATATTCCCAATGGCCAAAAAAAGTGTGAACACACTGAATGGATCCACATGACAAACTTCTGACAGGGTACGGACAAAAGAGGGTGGGCAAACATAGATGAGTTTCAATCTGTGGCACTGGAAAGAACATCTAAATGGATGAGATCAAAGATGATTTCATTATTTTACTGTATAAAACTTCATCCATAAAGCACAGAAAAATGTAGCTAGAACAGAAATGAACAGTGCCCTTTAAGAGAACCTGTTACACTTACACAAAATGCTTAAAATAATAAAAGGGCACAAAAATTGGAAACCACCTTGAATCTGAGACCTGACTCAAACCTTTTAATACAACTCATGACCAGTTGTTCCAGTCAGGTCCAACCCTTCATGACCTATTTGGGGTTTTCTTGGCAAAGACACTGGAGTGGTTTACCATTTCCTTTTCCAGTGTACCCATTTTGTCAGGCAGAAGTTAAGGGACTTGCCCAGGGTCACACAGCTAGGAAGTGTGTGAGGCTGGATTTGAACTCGGGTCTTCCTGATACCAGGCCCAGTGCTCCATCCACTAAGCCACCAGCTGCCTACGTGTTTACAGTAGCTTAATGAAATATCTTTTAACTTCCAGCACCCAAACCACCCAAACGTTAGTTATTTCCAAGGCAAAAATTCTTATCTGACAATTATGATGGTTTTTTCAATACCCAAATAGTAACACTTGAATGGTTTGGTCTTAATTGGCTTTGAGTGTGTTTAAGCACACCTACTTAGGCAGCATGGCAGTGGCTGGAGGGAGCCAGGAAGTCCTGAGGCAAAGTCCTGCATCTGACACACAACACTGACTATATGACCCTGGACAAGTCACTGAACCTCTTATCTCAAGCAATTCCATAAGACTACATGTTATGTGAGCTGCTTGTCTGTTTCCAAGGAAGGATTTTCTACACCAGGAGTTTCCCACAGCGATGAAACGACAGTTCTGGATTCTCTGCCCCCTTTCCTCCCCCCTCCAGTTGTCAAAAGACAATTACATACTTCTACATCTTTATGTTTTGGGGTTTTTTTCAGCAGAAAAGGTTTTTTAAAAAAATCAAACTAGATTGTGAGTCAAAAGTCTTGATGTGATGTAGCTGTGGGGGTTGGACAATTCACTGAATTTCTTTGGACCTCAATTTCCTTATTTGTATGACACAGACTAGATGTTATGTGTAAGGTTCCCTTCAGTTCTACTGATTACCTGACTAAGAGACAGACCAAAAATCACCAGAGCATTTATCAAAAAAATAAAGCTCCAAATACAAGATAATTAAGCAAAATGTCAGCCTAGATCCCACACGCCCCGTCTTATTGTCATTACTCTCATTCTAGGCTTTTATCTCCATCTTCCTGCTCTCTCAAATCAGCTGCCTACTGCTCCACTGCCTTTACCTCTTACTCTGTAGTACTTTCTACCAACCCCGAAATGGATTACTTCCCAAAAGCAGCCAAGGACAGTCACACTAATGATGCTCCTAAGACATTCACTGAAGCTTCTGCAGCCAGTACCACAAGTAAGTAACTTGGGCTGCTCCTCCACCTTGAACACTGACAGAGACAAAGGGAACTGTCAATAATACTCAGGGATGTACTTCAGCATCCTACCTACCAGGCAGGTGAGTCTGGCAATAATTACTGGTCTGCTGCTCTCTTACCACCGAGAAAGTTAAACTGAAAAAAACTCAAGTTGAAATAAACTGAAGTCATAAAGAACCCACCATGACAAAATGTTGCCAACTCACAGGCAGAAAAGCTGGTACATGGGTAGAAGGCCATTTCCACAAATATTCAAAGTCACACAGAAGGGTTCATCTTCAAGTGATCTGCTTCTCTCCTTTTACTGATTTGTGTCACAACTTCAACTAGAATTTGTTCTTAACCATGAACCTCACTGTGGTTTTTCTGTCTTCCCCTGAGTCAATATGGCAATCGTCACTGAGAGTCACTGACTCAAAGCACAGAACCACAATGATTCCTGGCCCTTTTAAGGTGACACAAGGAGCTAAATCCATGGCATTCAAGGAAGCATGAGATCTACCTGAACGCTAAACAAAAGAGAGAGCAAAGAGCTGAGCAGAAAAAAAAGTCATCTTAGTTCTAACAAAACCCCAAATTGACATTAGCATCCACACCAATAAATGTTCCAATTCCACTGCTGAGAGGGGAAAGGTTCCTTTATCTTACACTGCTTGTGTTGACCCTCTCCTGTTTCCTGAACCACTATCCTTACAAAGAACTGAATGTTACTGACACTAGAAAGACCTCAGATCATTTGATAAAATCATAGTTACCTATTCTCTCTCAAACTCTTCTCTCTACCTACTCACCCCCCTCGTTATCCTTTTCTTTCTAAAACCAGGTGGGATGGGGAACTTCTTTTCCTCCCAGAGAAGACAGGTTTTAAAAAAAAACCCATAAACATTCCCTCTTTCTCCAAAATAGCAGTTCTATCACCAATACAAATACCATCAGCTCTTCGAATGCTAGAATAATCAAGTAGGATGAGAAAAGAAGGCATTACAATATGGCTAGCATATACAAAAGCACCAAACTCTCTCTTCTAAGACTTGACTGCTGAAAGGCATTCTTATTTATGAAACTTTCATAAATAATCATAATTCTGGGTAAATTAATCATTATATTAATTTCTATGTACATGTGCAGCTATGTACCTATACACATTACTAGTCTCTAACACTGGTTGTTTAAGGGCATCCCAATACTTTGGGTCCCTTTCACTTACCTCACAGGGTTGTTGTATCAAATGAGGTATTTGTAAAGGCTCTTAACACAGTGCCTGACCCTTAATAAGTGCCATAGAAATGCTTACTCCCTTCCCTTCCTCTTCCCTTTCACTTCAGATGTACACCATGACCTATCAATAACTTGTCTTCCACAGCTGCCTGAGGTCCAGAGAGGTTAGGAGATTTAACCAGAGTCACACAGTGAGAGGTCTGAGCCTGGGGCTTTGGAAAAAGCTGTCCAGTACTCTATCCATGCTAGCTGTCTTTCACAAAGGTAAAATTTTATTAACAACAACAAAAAAAGCCAAGGGATAGTGCAAATTCTTGGAACTAGAAACAATGGAGATACTTCTTGAAATCAGTATGCCATGAAAACCTTGGTAACAGGAAAATGTTAATGATGTAAAACAAAAACATGGTCAAGTCCATGCCAAAAATCCCAGAACGTTTTGGCAGTCAGGCAGCTAGCGAGGGCAAGACTATTCCCAGCTCTGTTTTCGGTCCCCACAGATGATTAATCAGCAATAACCATCTTTCAGTTCCTCACCGCCTTCTCTAGCTCCAACATTAAAGAAGGTGATGTGTGAAGAGTTTCAGATAGAATTAAGAGCTGGATTTGAAGCCCAACCCCACTGGCTTATTATCTTCCCTGAATGCGAGTCAGCTAAACTTTCTGAGCTTCAGTTTCCTCATCAGCAATATCAGTAAGTTAGATGAGAGGATTTTTAAAGTCCCTTTTAGCTCTTACACCTATCAGATGAGAAAGGAGATTCAGAAATTCAATGATGTCCACAATCACACAGCCAGCCTGGCACTCTATCCATTACACCTGAAGTGTCAAACTCCTGGCCCTACCAAGCCAGATGAAAATGTCATTGGGAAATATTTAACAAAAGAAATTAAAATGCAATACAATACAACACAGATAATGTAAATTTGTGGTCTTCTAAATCAACATGCAGCCCACAAGGATCCCTTTCTATTTGAGTCTGCTACCATTACACTAGACCATTCCGACTATAACTCACAATTCTATGTATTCCATGACCTTGGCCAGAAAAAACCCCACCCATACTACTCAAACCCCTCTTCAAACTAATAAACAAGAGCTTGGGGATTAGGGAGAGGAAAAGAAAGAAAGAAAGGCATATTATCTAATGTCTCCTACAAAGTGAAATGGAATTTGCTTAGCTATCTCTTTCCTTTTCCTTAAATGTGTTCCAAATTTTTCACTATCCTCTTCAAGAACAGTTCTAGCCAGAGGAGGAAGCAAGGACAGGGTATAGGGGCAATGCTCTTAAGCAACACACCAAAAAAGCCTGACAACATATGCACCATTCTACTACAAAGGAGGAGTGAGAGGTGCTTTCTCATCTCTTCTTTCTCATCTCATTACACTTTCCTAAGATTCAGTTTCCATTGCTTTGTTCTTTCCATTTACATTGTTGTCAATGTTCTTTTTAAAACAAAATTCTGACAAAAGGGGAAAATGACAAATGCTAGAGGGGCTGTGGGAAAACAGGCACATTAATGAAGTGATTGTGGAACTGTGAATTAGTCTAGCCATTCTGGAAAAGTGATTTGGAACTATGACCAAAAAATTGCTAAACTGTTCATGCCTTTTGACCCAGGTATACCGCTACTAGGCCCAGACTCCAAAGAGATCAAATAAAGTGGAAAAGGACCCATATGGACAAACATATTTATAGTGGCTCTTTTCACAGAAACAAAAAAAACCTAGAAACTAGAGGAATATCTACTGGAGAATGGCTAAAAAAATTACATATATGGATATGGTAGAATTATTACTGTGTGTAAGAAATGATGAAATGGACAGTTTCAGAGGATTCTGGGAAGACCTATATGAACTGATGCAGAGTGAAATGAGCAGAATTAGAATAATTTATACAATGATAACAACAGTAAAGAGAAAAACAATTCTGAAAGACTTTAGAACTCTGATGACAAACCATGATGCTAGAGGACTGAAAATGAAGCATACTTTCCACCTCTTGCCAGGGAAGTGATGGACCTAAAATGAGGAATGAACATGCATTTTTAAACATGACTAACACGGAGATTTGTGAGACTAATATTTTTTGTGTTTAGTTCTTCTTTTTTCGTTATTCTTCAATGTGGGTGGGAGAGGGAGGATAGTAAGAGGGAAAGATAAATGCTTGTTAAATAAATAAAATGTAATAATAAAATTCTAACAAAAAGGCATGTGCTCCGTGGAGTTTGTTATAATGGGATCCAATATATCGCTGTTTATCTACACATGAATTCACCAAACCTCAATACCTAGCTTAGCAAATAACAGCTTCTACAGATATGCCTTAAAACAACTATAGATGAAATGTGCCAACTTAGTAGAGTCCTATAGTTAAAATAGTTGTTAGACAAAAGTAGGATCTCAATTTTCTTAACTATTTTATAAACTGCATATACTATAAAATAAATTCTAATATTTTCTAGCTGTAATCATCTATCTAATCCAGCAGCAACTATGCACACTAATCTGTATACTATAAAAATTAAATACAGTACCTTCATGTTTCTTTCATCACTCACTGGATCACTGTTAACACTTTCATCTTTTCTTTCCTTTTCAGTATTCCCAAAAGCCCTAAATTTAACCAAAAGTTTGTAAAGATAAACAATTTGTTCCCAATTTAGTTCAGTTTAAGCTTATCTACAATTAAGGAAACATAACTTTTTTTTATGAAGGAAACACGAGATTTAATATAAGTGAAATCCCATAAGTACCCACTCTATAGAACATCCTCTTTTATTGTAGTTGAGAGGTAGTGTGGAATAGTAGGAGGAAAAAATACTTGAGGAATACTAGAAGGAAAAAAGTACTTGACTTAGAGCCAAAAGCCCTAAGTTTGAGTTTCTGCTGCCACTTATTGCTCAAGTGATTTTTTCCCCTCTCTGAGCCTCAGTTTCCTCATTTATAAAACGAGGGCACAATATACAAAAGCAAATGAGCACAGTAACCTAGTGTTTGATAAATCCAAAGCTTCAAGCTATTGAGGCAAGAACCCACTATTTGAAAAAATTGCTGGGAAAACTGGAGAAGTAACCAGACAGAAACTAGACATAGACCAACATCTCACACTGTATACCAAGATCAGCTCAAAATGGGTCCATGATCTAGATATATACAGGGTAACATCATGAGCAAATCAGTGGACCATGGAAGTAGTTCCCTGTCAGATCTATGGAAAAGGGAAGAGTTCATGACCAAATAAAATATATAGAGGTTTACAGAAGGTAATAGGATAATTCTGATTACCTAAAATTAGAAAGATTTTGCATAAACAAAAAGCAATGCAGCCAAAATTAAAAGAAAAGAAGGAAAGTGGGAGGGAAATCTTTGCAAGTTTCTCTGATGGAATACTATTATGCTGCAAGAAATAATGAAGGCTGGAGGCAGCTAGGTGGCACAGTGGGGGGCAGCTGGGTGACACAGTGGATAGAGTACCAGCCCTGGAGTCAGGAGGACCCAAGTTCAAATCCACTTACTAGTTATGTGACCCTGGGCAAGTCACCTAACCCCACTGCCTAGCAATAAAAAAGAAAAGAAATAATGAAGGAAATGGTTCCAGAAAAACAATTTACATATTAAAAACAACACTGTAAAAATAATCAACTGTGAAATACTGAGGTGGATCACTACAACTTCAAAGGACTCATGGCAAAATGTTATCCACCTCCACACAGAAAACTGACTACTCAAGAGTGCATAGTGAAGCATATCTTATTTCTCTTTCTTTTTCTTGTCTCCTTCCCTACCTCCCACCCCCATCCCACCATGGCTAACTGGAAATGTTCTGCATGATTTCATATGTGTAATGGATATCACATTTCTTGCCTTCTCAATGGATGGAGGAGAGGTAGAGGGAGGGAAAAGAATCTGAAACTGAAAATAAAATAAAACTGAATTTAAAAATACAATAAAATAAAATGAAGGGACTGAACAACATGATTCAATTAAGCAAACATTAATTATATGCAAGAGCTGAAGAAAAAACACAGTTGATACCCTGCATCTCTATAATGAATGAGCTTGCAATCATAGGGAAATGTAGATTTCCTAGATAAATGACCCCTTAGTTCTTTTACGATTATGTGTTTGTGGGATATTTGAAGGAGGATTAGGGAAGAGAAAAATGACTGGCACATGATGGCAGAAAAATAAAATGGAAAGGCTCAGCTTTTTCTTTCTCCCACCTGAAATTTAAACATTGAATAATTAGGCACTTTGAGAGTGACCTACTGTAACCCAAAAGGGATCAAGGAAAGCCTTTCCTTTATAAAATTTTCCTACAGGAAACCTTCATCAAATAAAAGCACTGTTACTGTGGCACATCTTCTAGGACATGATAAAACAAAATGCTATATTTCCAGGCCATACAACAATCACAATCCTTTCCCCATTTACCTACACTACCTTCTTGGAATCATTTCCACTCAGCTTGCTGCCTACTTCCAACTTTAGACAATTTCACAGAATTTCCGAGATCTACACTGTCTACAACATTCCTGTCAAACGGTGGTCCAGCTTCCATTTGAAGACCTCCAGCGATGAGGGAGTTAGGGAGTCTTTCCTCACATTTAATTGAAATCTGCCTCTTTGAAGTTTCTACTTACTGTTTCTAATTCCGCTCCCCAGGCCTCAAGCAGAACAAGGCCATTCCTTCTTCTACTTTCAATTACTTCACAAAAATTCTCCCTTCCTCCAAATTAAGCGTCATCTTCATATCCCCAGTTCTTTCAAATGATGCTTAGATGACATGGACTTTTCATCGTCCTGGACACCCTCTAGTTTGTTAATATCTTCCCTTAAAATGTAGTACGCAGAAATGAACACAAAATTCCAGATGTGATCTAACCAGGGAAATGGTCAGCAGGACAATTACCTCCCTCATTCTGGACATTATGCTTATTAAGACATCTTAAGAAGTTTTTTTGACTGTCATCACATTATTGATATGTACTGAATTTGCAATCTAATTCTCCAATCTTTTTCACGTAAAAAGAAACTTATCTAGTCCTGCGCTTCCTCTATCCTGTACTTATAATTTTTTTCAACCCTAAATGTGTGGACTTAATATTTATCCCTAATTAAATTTCCACTCTCCCCAAACCCATTTTAGCTAGTTCAAGTTCTTCTCCAACACATCCTTCTTTGAATCCACTGACCTTCCAGTGAAGAAAAACATTTAGGCCACCACCAAAGTTTGGAAGGTCAATGAAAGGACATCCTTCTGTTACTTGATCAAAAGCATAAGAATAAAAAGAAAAGGGGATCTGTCTTGGGTGTCATTCTGTTAATATTCTTATTAACAAGTAAAAATACTTGGATAAAGGGCAAGATGGCATACTTATCAAATCTGCAGATGCCACAAAACTGGGACAGATAGTTAAGGCACTGAATGACAGTTAAGGACCAAATCTAGTAAGCTGAAGAGGGATGGATACAAAATCCAACATTTGGATTTTTAAAACCAACAATACAAACATAGAGGAGATGTAACTAGACAAAAGAACTCATGTGAAAAAGATGGAGTTTTAATGGACAACAAGCTCATGAGTCAACAGTATGATGTGGGAGCCAAAAGACTAATGTGATCTTAAAATGCAGTAACAGAAACGTAGTGTCCAGAATTAGGGACATAACAGCCCTGATGTACTCGGCCTTGTTCAGGGCAGAGCTGGAATATTTTGTTCATTTCTGGGAAAATACATTTGAAAAAAGACATTGACAAGGTACAGTATGACAAGGAGGGTGATAAGGAGACAAAACCAGGCCATTACAACTACTGGTTGAAGGAACTACAGATGTCTGACCAGGAGTAGAAAAAAGGAATTCAGGAGCCAAGTCTTCTTCACCCCAACTTCTTCCCTTATATTTGGGGACTTCAATATACATGTTAATGTGATACTAAACACCTCAACTCCCACAATCTGAACCCTCACTCCACCTCAATCACCCACTGAGATCATCATACTCTTAATCTTACCATAACTCATAAAGAATTCCACTTCTATGTCCAAGAACTCCGAAGTTCCTAAATCTGATCACAACCTCCTCAACTTTCATCTCTTTCAATGCCTCATTCCTCCTAAACCTATTCTTCATCTTCACGGGACCTCTACTTACTCCACCTCACAGTGATCTCTCAGGCCATTCATCTCCTCTGCTACAGCCTAATTTTCCTCCTTTCCCAATCTCAACATTATAACGATAACTTGAATTCTCTGATCAAGATCTCATTTCTAAGATGTATAGGGAACTGACTCAAATTTATAGGACTAAGAGCCATTTCCCAATTGATAAATACTCAAAGGACATGAATAGGCAGTTTTCAAAGAAACCCTAACTGGAGGACATGAATAGGCAGTTTTCAAAGAAACCCTAACTGGAATATTCAGTCACATAAAAATGCTCTATAATTCACTAATAGAGAAATGCAAATCAAAACAACTCTGAAGTCCTACCTCATGCCCATCAGATTAACTAAGTTGATAAAAAAGGAAAATGACAAATGCTAGAGGGGCTATGGGAAAACAAGTACACTAAAGAACTGTGGGTGAAGCTATGAATTGGTCCAACCATCCTGGAAAGCAATTTGGAATCACAACTCAAAAGCTACTAAACTGTTCATACCCTTTGATCCAGTGGTACCACTATCAGGTCTATATCCAAAAGACAGTAAAGAGGAAAAGAACTCATATGTATAAAAATATTTATAGCAGCTTTTTTATGGTGGCAAAGAACTGGAAACTGAGGGGGTGCCCATCAATTGGGGAGGGGCTGAACAAGTTATGGTATATGTATGCAACAGAATACTATTGTGCCATAAAAATTGATGAAGGGAATGGTTTTGGAGAAACATGGGCAGACTTGTATGAACTGATGCAAAGCTAATAGAACTTGGAGGACAATTCATACAATAACAGCAATATTATGAAGACAAACAACTCTGAAAGACTCAGGAATGCTGATCAATACCATGACCAACTGTGTCTTCTTTCACAACATGGAAATACGTTTTACATAACTGCACGTGTGTGTGTGTGTGTGTGTGTGTGTGTGTGTGTGTGTGTGTATAACCTATATCAAACTGCTTACAGTCTCAGGAAGGGAGGGAGGGAGAAAATTTGGAATTCAAAAATTTTTAAACATGAATTTAAAAAATCATCTTTACATGTAATTGGGGGAAAAATATTATTTTAAAAAACACAATGACCAAGTTTAGATGAAACATTTTACCCACTTCCTGATAGAGAGTAATCAGAGTACAGATTGAGGTGTTTTTTGGTTGTTTGGTTTTTTTTGGTGGGGGGGAGGGTAGCATGGCCAATGTGGGAATTATTTTGCTTGACTATATGTGTTTGTAACAATGATTTTATTTTTCTTGCTTTCTCCATGGGGGGAGAGGGGGAAAGGAAGCAGGGAGAGGACTGGGAGGTAGGAAGGAAAGAATGTAGATCAGAAAATAAAAGTTAATTTTAAAAAATATACCTTGATAGCTGTGTGACCCTGGGCAACTCACTTAACTCTGATTGTCTTACCCCCAAAAACACACACACACACACAAACACCTTGATACTATA